TAAATCTCTAGCCTTCCTGGGATAATTGTAGTCTGAGGAAATGTTTCCTACTAAATCCTCTCACGACCACTGCCCCAGGCCCTATCCCATGCCCCTGCTTCCATGGTCTTTTTCTCCATCTAACCCCAACTTTTCTAGAGTCTGCATTGCTGTTCTCTATTTCTCTGCCCCCACTCCACGAACCTCCAAATTGGAAACCTGCCCTGAGTGCTGTAAGCAATCACAGCTTCTTGCTTTTACGCCACAGTATAAATTGTTCTGTAGGTGAAATTACTCTGACTCCTTCGTACACTTCTCATCTTGACTGTACATGCTTTCTCTGACACTGTCTCAACAAATGCCCACCTCTCAGACTCCTCTGACCCCTTCTTGTTTCCATAGGATTAGTTTTCAATTAATACACAGTTCCTGTTGGAACCCTTCATTAAAGGTCATTTTACCATTTTGGTAAAAGGAGAAACTCCTATTTTTTGAATTCTTAAACCAGAATTCTAGAATTTTTAAACTCTATCAGCTCATGATCATTCTGCCCAGGATGATCTGCATATCACGCACTTGTTCTCTGCGAGCCCTGTCATGACTGTCACCGCCCCACTACCTTGTGTAATCTTGCCATTAACTGGGCCCCAGACACTCCAAGCATGAATTTTCAGCTGTATTTAAAAAAACTCATTTTCAGAAGTCTAACAAGGTCTATCTATGGTCTTAAAGCATTGTGTGTGAGCCATCAGCTGTGGCCGACTGCCACAGGGTGCTCCTTAAACACTTTCTTCATGTTCTATGCAAAATGAACATTAAACACTATCCCTTTCATATTTTTAAGTTCGTATCTAAAATTTTCATAGTTTTAATAACTGAAAAAGGTCTAACTTCCAGTGCCTTGTACATTGTGTCTCCAAACAAAGACTAGCGCTCATGTTGTAAGTACAGCTGAGGAGCTCGTATCATCAGAGCATTATGAAGCACACACAATGACCCCGCTCTTTCTTGAAATGCAGGCACTTTACATCTCTTCTTGAACTCATATCTCCCTCTTATTCCCAACCTCAGCATTTTCTTAATATATTATATAGCTAAGCTTTAAACTTGTATCTTTCTGCAATGATATATATCTTAATTTTAAAGTATCCTGTAGCCATAAGCTTCTGAGAAATAATTTTTATGGTTATTCTTCCAATTATTAATATCAGTTGTCATAATTTACAATAGATCACAAATTTAAAACACAGATTTTTAAGTATGAAACATAAATATTCACCTCTTAGAAATGTAATGTTTCTTTCCAATATATGGCTAAGTACCATCACGTTAGAATGAGACACATGCACTATCGATTCCATTCCTATTTTTTTTTCTGTATATATATTGTTCACACAAATGAGAATGGATGTAGCTATGGATTAGCAGGGATTTAATTCTCTACATTCAAAAAGAAGAAAAAAACTTACTGCCATTGAGTCAATACTGACTCATAGTAATCTGTCAGAGGACAGGGTGGGGCTGCCCTGATGGGTTTCTGATGCTGTAACTCTTCATGAGCGTAGAAAGCCTCTCTTTAAAAAGGCGGGATAAACAATCCAGAGGACACCGGAGAGGGAGAGATGGAAGAAAAGAAGGGAGATACAACAAATCCAGGGACAAGGGAAAAATAAGGGCCTAAAATTGATGGCGAGGAGGGCAAAGCATGCTTGGGGGTGCTCAATCAAGGGAAATGTAGCCGAGAGGAATTACCAAAACCCGAATGAAGGCCAAACATGGTAGTGGGACAGGAGAAAAGTAAAAGGAAATAGAAGAACTGTCCTGGGAGGCACAGGACAGTTGTAGAGGTCTATACACAGGCATGTATATATGTAAATACATTTATATACAATGACAGGGAATAGAGCTATGTTATTTATTTATAAAATATTACGGTAGCAGATGGACACTGGGCCTCCACTCAAGTACTCCCTCAACGCAAGAACAATTTGTTCTATTAACACAGCACTCTGTGATGTTCACCTTCCATGACACGATCGCTGAAGACAGAATTGATACATAAACAAATATGGTGAAGAAAGCTGATGGTGCCCGGCTATCAAAAGATATAGTATCTGGGGTCTTAAAGGCTTGAAGATAAACAAGCGGCCATCTAGCTCAGAAGCAACAGAGCCCACATGGAAGAAGCACACCAGCCTGTGTGATCATGAGGTGTCAATGGGATCAGGGATCGGGCATCACAGACCCAAAAACAACCAAACAAAAAGCATATCAATGGGAATGACAGAGGGGGCAAATTGGAGAACCAAAGCCCATCGGTAGTCAATTGGACACCCCCTGTCAGAACAGCCAGAAGGAAGAGAAGTGCCAGTCAGGGTGCAGTATAGCACTGATAAAACACACCACCTTCCTCTAGTTCTTTAATGTTTTCTCCTCCTCCCTCCCACTACCATTACCCCAATTCTATCTTACCAATGGTACAGATAAGAGCTTGAAACACAGGGAATCCAGAACAGATCAACCCCTCAGGACCAATAAGGGGGCAGCGATACTAGGAGGGTAAGGATGGGGGGGGGCGGGATCGGACAGGGTTGCGGGGAACCGATCACAATGATCGACATGTGGCCCCCATCCCAGGAGGACAGACAGCAGAAGGGTGGGTGAAATGGGACAGCAGTCAGTGTACAACATGAAAAAAACCCAATAATTTATAAATTATCAAGGGGGCAAAGGGGAGGGAGGATGGGGGGGCGAAGGAGGGGGAAAAAGGAGGAGCTGATGCCAGGGACTCAAGTAGAAAGAAAAAGTTTTGAAAAAGATGATGACAATATATGTAATGATGTGTTTGACAAAATGGATATATGTATGGGTTGTGATAAAAGGTGTAAGAGCCCCCAATAAAATAAAATTTAAATTAAAAAAGAAAGAAAGCCTCTCTTTATCCCCTGGTGTCACTGAAGGTTTCAAACTGTTGACCTTGTGATCAGCAGCCCAACCTGTAACCACTGTGCCCCCAGAGCTCACTCCTCCAAAGTCACCTGCAAAACCTCATACTGAGCTCTCTTCCTGCATCATTTATAACCAGGTCCTCCTGTAATTTAATCCCTATCACTAAGTCAACTGTCTTCATGACTTTCAAAAGCAGGCTTCACTAAGACTTATTCCAGACTTCGTACATTTTCACTTAGAGGCACCTTGTTAAGTTAAATATTCTCAGAAAGGATTGGGAAACTTAAATTGTCTGTACTTTTGACAATGTAATTTTTCTAAGTATTATTTTCTTTATTACACATTCTGAATATATTTTTTTCAAAACCCTGGGCTTACACATTTAGTATTTTGTTTGTGAAAAAATGTCCATCAAATAGCCTAACTAGGAAGACCAGTCAGTCCTCATAGCAAACAAAATTGTCAAACCAGTCCCCTGATGTCCATTCAAGTAAACATTATTACGTATCCCCCATGAAAACTACCCCACTTCTGAATTCTGAACATCTACATAGACCACTAAACTGCCTCTTGTGCCACAATGTAGTAGTCACAGAATATGCACAGGGAAGAATATACTAAGCCCTATTTGAGTTTATAATACCTTCATTAAGGAAGGCTTTACTGACATTAATTTATTAAAACACCTTTCCTTTATATGGTGCCTTGGGGGTTTGTGCAGCCAAGGAATAGCAAGATTCTAACGAGGGAGGAGCCCTGGTGGCATAGTGGTTGTGCACCGGATTACAAGCTGCATAATGTTCTCAGTTCAAAACCAGCAGCCACGCTGAGGGAGAGACAGGACTTCTACTCCCGTAAACAGTTTACAGTCGCGGAAACGCACAGGGACAGTTCTCCCCTGTCCTATGGGGTTCACCATGAGTCAGGATTGACCCGCTAGAGTTTGGTTTTGGAATAAATGATGGGTAGTCGTTATTTTTGCTCAAGTTCGAATAGGGCACTGTGAAAGAAGAGACAAGAAGAGGGAACCACCGTGCCCCCTTTGCCCCAGTCGTGTTCTCAGGCAAATCAACTTCTGGAAAGTCCAAGAGCAAGCCATGGCTCTGGGAACAAGTCTTTTAAAATGGTGCTAACCATGCAATGTCTTTGTGTACCCCTAGCATTCCACGTGAAATAAACCAGCCGAGGCTGCTAAAACAAGAGAGCTCAGCACTGCTACCTGGGTGCATGACTAAGTAAATGTTTTCAAGGGGGCTGTGGAGTCCCAAAGGAGCCCTTGTTGCAGAGTGGGCTCCACATTGTACTGCTGACTCAAGGCGCAGTGCAAACTCACCTGCCAACACACAGGAGAAAGAGGAGGCTTTCTGCTCGCACGAAGATGTACAGCCTCGGCAGCTCCGAGGGGCTCTGTGAGCACTGCCTGCTCGCATGCACATGCAGTCGCCCTGAGTCAGCGTCAGCGCCACAGCCACGGGCAGATTTCTTTCGTTTTATTTTCAGTTTGGGTTTGAATAGATCCGAACAGTCCACACTTTCTAAATCAATTCTCCACACCGACAGCATACCTATTCTTATTACATGACTTGGGATGCAATTTGTCAGTCTCCGAAAGGCTGGAGAACTTGAAGAACTGACGTTCGAACTTGAATGGTCCTCCTACCTAGCACTCACAGTTCTGCACCACAAACATCATAATTATAAAGAAGAGTGAAAAGAGAAATAACATGAACAGAGAAGCAATGCTCAGCATGATACCTATCTCACAGTGCCCCTTGCTGTTGAAAACACACGGGGACTTACATGGTCTGCAAATTAAAAACAACAACAACCTGTAATCATGTATTACGATCAGTAATAAAAATTGTGGTTATTTAGAAGAGCAGTTGATCCTGGAGGTAGAGTCCAGGCAATTTTCAACATCTACCAGAAAAGTTGTCAAACAGAACAACTGTACATAAACACTTGAGTGGAGTTTTCACTTCACATGATTTTGAAAGGGAAAAAAAGGATCAACTTAGCTCAGACAGTTTCCTTATTGGGTCATTATTGCACGGAGTTCCACTTGCACTTACCGCCTCGGTGTGAATCGGATGCACGGCGAAAAGCAGCGCCGTGACGAAAGCCAGCCCGCGGTGCTTGAAGACAGCTTTGTCACACGTGTGCATCAGCACGAGGGTCACCAGGCAGTGCAAAATGACATTGACTGCATGGAAGTAGAATGGGTTCATGCCAGTTAAAAATATGTTTAGCCTGTTTAAAAACAAACAAACAAACAAATGACATTAGCCACAACTAGAATGTAAACACCAGAAAAAGAAGCGGGAATCGATCATGCAACCTATGCGATGACTTCTGCCATGACCTCCGCCATCTGGTTAGTCTATGTATTCAAATAGGGGCCTGCAATGGTTTGAGACGGAAGAGCTGATCCTGTCTCTCACAGCAATTTGAAACTTATTCAAGAGCCATAAATATATTTTTACAAAGAAATAAAATCACCATGCTCTAAATAATATCCCGTCAACATTTTCTGTTTTCCTCCAGAGCCACGTGTACTTAGCACAAGACCCCGTTTCTGACCGGTAACGAAGTCACTCCAGACACAAATACTACCAACCAGAGAGTCTTGTCTCCTAGGGGGGCTCTGCAACAGAAGGGGGGCATTGTTTCTCCCCTCACTGGCTAGTGCACACCCCCAGTGCGCTACTGCTACTGCGAAGCAGCTGAGGGTAGACAGGCAAGTCCCCAGGGCCCGAGTCAGGGTCACAGCCACTGAGGAGGAGGAGAAACCACGGAGACCGTGACTGGGGTCACAGCTGTGATCACCCAGGCTCCACTGGGCTCTCTCTCGGCCACGCTGCCAGCCCGAACCCAGTGTCCATCTGTGAGCCTCACGAACGGCCCGAGCTAAGAATCTGCAGGGCCCCTCCGTGCTTATGGCCAGCTGCAGCTGGACTGGGAGGGAAAGCAAAAACACAGCATTTCTGTGTCTAGGAAATGCTTCCTAACACATGCCCCCCGCCCAGACCGCAGACCTCCATTCAGAGAGGATGACAGACAAACTGTGAAGCTCACTAAGGAAAAAGGAAATCTACTGGCCCACATCTGAAAAGATGCTCTCCTGAGAGGGAAATGCAAGGCACACTTACATTTATCTTCACACTCAATAACATATCATGTCTCCGAATGAGTCTGTAAAGTACCAAAACATAATACTCCAACAGGGTAACGCTGTCCTGCCGTGTCCCGAGGAGGCAGGAACGCCTCCAGGGCAGTGGGGTAGTCCAGACCATTTTGCCAAAACAGCAGTCCCCGCTTTGTATTCCGCTCGTACTACGGAGGCCTGGTGGCACCGTGGCTGCACAGAGCTGCTCACCACGAGGTCCGATTCTGGAACCCACCAGCTGCTCCGAGGGAGAAAGAGGGGGCTGACTGCCCCCATGAAGACCAGGGATCAGAAACCCACAGAGGCCGTTCCACTGTGCCCTCCAGGGCTGTTGTAAGTCAGAAGCAACTTGGTGGTAACGGGAGTGGTTTGAGCTTGCCCTGGATCTGCTTCTCTTCTCTTTGCTGAATCAAATGGCGAATGTAAAGATGGACACTAGAGATAAAAGATGCATATTCTGAACACCTGGTTCATGCTTTAGGCTACAGAATCTGTGAATCTCAAATTGGGCTCGAACATCAAGGTGTCAGCTGATTTAAGTTACTTAATGACTCAATTTACATTCCTGCCGCAGTACTACCCCAAACCAAAACCTACTGCCATCTAGGTGATTCTGACCAATGGCGATCCTATAAATGGTTTCAAAGGCTATAAATCTTTACAAGAGCAGATAGCCTCTTCTTTCTGCCTTGAAGGAGCTGGTGGATTTGAACTCATGACTTCGTGGTTAGCAACTCAACGCTTACCTGGCGGCACTCCCGGGGCTCCTTTACAGTACTAAAGGTCTACTTACAAACAGAAAAATGAAATGTAGCATGGAATCTAGCTCCGGGCCATGTGAGACTTGGTTCCTCCATGGTATGTGAGTAGACCTAGGGGTGTGCACACGCCAAGGTCCCTAAGACAGGAGCCTGGCATGAAGTACCCTTCCCACATCTGTTGGGATGGGAAACGGGTCGTGAGCTGGCACCCATTATCTACGGTTGTTGAATCAATTCTATCTCAAAGCACCCTTAGAGAACAAAGTAGAACCGTCCTTGTGGGTTCCCAACACCGTAAATCTCTCTGGCAGCAGAAAGCCCCATCTTTCTCCTTCGGACAGAGTGGTTTGGATTGCAGACCCTGCAGCTGGTAGTTCAACGTGTAATCCCCCACAGCACCACCAAGGCTCTGTACTGAACTGGTAGGTCCGACAAAAGCAAAACAAACGCACGCCCTCAGTATGTGCTAGCGCAGTGGTTCTCAAGCTGTGGGTCGCGACCCCTTTGGAGGTCAAACGACCCTTTCACAGGGGTCGCCCGATTCATAACAGTAGCAAAATGACAGGGATGAAGCAGCAACGAAAATAATTTTGTGGTTGGGGGCACCACAACATGAGGAACTGAATTAAAGGGCAGCGGCATGAGGAGGTTGAGAACCACTGCTCTAGCACAAATGGACTCACGTAGAAAGACAGATTCTGAAATTTGGAAAGACCCGACGAGAAAGCTGGAAGACCACCCTGGCAAGGCCTCGTTCTCGGAGAATTCAGGCCCAGTTCCCGCACCATCCAGCCCCGAGGTTGACTGAGCCCTGGGTTTCCTACTCCACCATGCTATACTTGCTAGACAAACTCGGCTGCTCCCTCAAAATTCAGCCACACAGTCTCATGGGTGGCCAGGCTGCAAGGTCTCTAGGTTGATGATGAAAAGATGAGGAGGCTTCAAACGTTTATGGAACGCTTCCATGGTCCTTTTCACGGCGCATTTCCACTTCTTGAAGTACGCAACAGCACACACGCCACTCACAATCTCGGCAGCAGGTATCACTCGGGGACGTGCCTGACAATCTTCTAGTTATGTAACCAGTCTCCCCTCCTTTCCTAAGGAGCCCTCCCCAAAGTACATAAAATTAAACCCCCCAAAATCAAACTCACTGCCATTGAGTGAATGCTGATTCACAGGACCCCGTAAGGACGGGGTAAAATGGCCCCTGTGGGTTTCCAAGACCAACGGCAATAAAAAGCCGTCTTCCTCGCTTGGAGCTGCTGGTGGTTTTGAACAATGCAGGTAGCAACCCTGCATGTAACCGCTACACCACCAGGACCGTCATGTTATTGACTCCTGAATTTCCTACTTAACTTCTGCGATAGTCAACTTAACCTCATAGAGAGATCCTAAAAGACCATCGGGTTCCAGGCAGGCCTTCTTTACTGATGAAGCTAAACTATTGCTTGGTTTCAGGAAGACGAGGGAATATTTACGGTTTAATATTCAAAGATTATCTCAGGGCAATCCCTTGAAGGCACAGCCAGTGTACAGGACTCCAGAAAGAGTGGATTCCATGAGAATGTGAGATTCTACCTTGTCTTTTTCCTCTCTGAATCAAGATTCTTCTATAAAACTTTTGATTAAAATGTTCAGTAGCGGTAGCCAGACACCATCTAACTCTGGTCTTATGACAAACTGACCATACATGCATTAGCTACACATTTCCTCTTCCCACGCCTAACTCTCCTTCTTCCTCTGTGGCTCTAGGCAAATTAATAGAGCCATATTGGAGGCTTTGCATGGCTTCTAGTAACTGTGCCCTAAACAGTAAACTGGGAGAAAATAAACATTGGAAACATCCTATCATGGGCAATCATGGATCATAATAATGACTATGTGAACTGATGACTGGCATGGAGTGGTATATGTAATATAATTAATGGGAACAAAGACTTGGCATGACCCCGTTTGGTTTTGAAAAGATTTTTTAAATCCTCAAACATCTTACATGCATAGTAAAAATAGCAAAAGTTTAAAGCTACTTTTTAGAATAAACTTACTGTTAGCTATTTTTATGTTTAAAACTGAAGTACAAAAACACGACAGGGAACAGCTCTCAATGATATGAAATAACATACATGAGGTTTCGGATGGTTTTTGTTTTCATTTTTGTGCTGTTCTATAACTTCGCAATTTTCTACAAATACTTTATTATATATATTTTACTTTATCGTATTTACAATCATAGTAAGCCCTAGCTTTTTAAAGTTTTACCCAGAATAATCGTATCTATTCCCTTTTAACATGTAAAATGAAAATCATAGGGAGCTAGTACCTGCACTTGACTGCATGTCTAAGCTTGATCCTTCCACACTTCATGCTTTTGGCTGAATGTTGAAATGAAGGACGGTGCAAAAAGCACTGAATACCAAGGGACAAGGCAGAGAGGGCAAGACATCAAATAAACCAACTCCTCCCGCAGCTGACTGAGTCCTAGAAACGCTGTAGTTTAGACCATAAAGCTAGGTCTCATGCAACAAGTAGCAGCAATGTTTTTGAAAAGAGAACAAAAGACTTGTTATTGTTTTTGTCATTATTCCAGGGTATTTGTGTCCAACCATATGAAAAGTAAAAAGTACTACTAAAGATGGCGCTAATACTATAGTGCCACACTTTACGTAGTATTTAGCATATAGGCCCTTCCAAATATGATATGAAATGGTAGGCATGGGTCACTTTTGTGCAGTACTTACACGGTATCTGAAAATGTGCTCATTTTGCCCATGTAGATGATCATTTCTGGAAATTCAATTCGAAGTTAAAATGTGAAAAATAAATTGCTGAATGGGGAACCATTACAATGATTAAGCATCCTGTGAAAGTCCCTCATGTGCCTCACAGCAGTGAATCTACACTTGGAGAGATCACCAAAAATCTGGAATGAGAATTTCCCAGATGTCTAAATGGCACAGAAGGAACTACAGACAAGTGACTTGAAAAATAACACTAACACATTTCTAGAACATGGACTCTTTTTCAGAGCTGAAAAAAGATTCTGAATTAGGGGTCTAATAACATTCACAAAATGGGGCTAAATTAATTAACTTTATATTTTAATAGGAAAATCTTTAGCTCATCAAAGGTATTTATCAAAATCTCAGAACTTCTTTGCATACAAGATGGGATCGGATGGATTTGCAGTAAACATGGAGTGCTGAATAGTAAATCAGCATCTAATTAGACAGAGCCCTTCAATATGTGCCATGGGTTCTGACATTAACTCTGTTGTGTTCAATATTTTTATCAATGACTCAAAGGAAAATATAGAGTGCACG